TTTCAGGCAGTCGCGGAGCCAATTCCCAGCCTACAGGCCTCCTGTGGGCGACAAGCTCCAGATTCGGTGAATTGGTAGCTTTGTTATTTCTCTGTAGTGAGGTTAGGTTAGCGATCCACTGCTGCCTTTCATGCTTGGTTGTTGCATTTTAAAATTGTGTTATCGGCACATGCTTTAACTTTTTCTAATGTTATCTTGCTTGAGTACTCCTTGTAGTGTGTGGGTGGGAGACAAATAAAACAACCATAGCAACCATAAATAATAACAGTGATATTATAGGCCATGAAGCTCAGTGGGTAATCTTGAGCCAGTCACTCACTCTCAGACCAACCTACCGCACAGGGTTGTTTGTGTTATGAGGATGAAATGGAGCTCTGTAAACTGCCTTGGGTTTCTCACAAGTGGAAAAATGGCAGGGCATAATTGTAATAATAATTGTATCTATGTAGGGGTTGAGCCTAGTGGGGACAGCCTGGATTGGGAACATCACAAATCTACTGCCTTCCCGTTCCACACAGTACCTGTAATTCAGGAAATTACCCTCATGGGCAAGATGTCTTCACTGCAAGGAAGATGGAGAAGCAAGGACGAGTATACTCTCCCTCCATGTGTAACTTGCATGCTGACATATACTGCATCTCTGTGCTGGCTGCTACTGAGCCGTATACAAGGTTTTGTTGCTGATGTACAGTAGGTTTGCATGATTATGGGGGAAAGGAAACCGCTGTGGCTGTTTTTGCTTTACTACCGGTGTGCTGGCCACATGCCACAAATTTGGTCTAATTACCCTCATAATGCATGGCTTCTCATGTCTTCCAAACTTGCCAAGGTGAATAATGGGATGTGTTTGGTGGGGGTGGTCTTCAAAGCCCATCCCCCAAAACAAGCCATGGGTACTTGGGTGGTTTCAAAGGCACCCTCTTCATGTCCCTCTCTGGGTTTGGATGACACAGGAAGGGGCACGTTATGAGGGTAATTGGGCAAATCATGCACTGAGTGACCGGTATGAATGTGGGCAGAGACAGGAAGTAACAACAAATGATCATGGAAACCTGGTCATAACAGAATAATTAGCTGACCGTATCTGAGGAGACCTTACTGGTTGTTCTGAAACCAATGGCATGTCACCTGGTAGCAGTACACAAGCAGGCCTCCTCAGTGGTGGCACCCATCCTTTGGAACACTTCCATGTATGATTTGAGAGACAGAAACTGTGCAAAGTTTAAATGTCTCTTGAAAATATGTTTATTTACACAGGCTTCACCTGACTAGTGACTTTATTACTCTAGTTAAGTATTTTAATATATCAAGTGGCATAGAAATAGTGTAGAGAGAGAGAGAGAGAGAGAGAGAGAGAGAGAGAACTGTTCAAGTCACTGTACAGTTATTCTGCTCTGCCTTTCAAAAAAAAAAACCCAGAACAGATTTTCCCCCACTTGTTGTTAGATTACATTTTGTGCATGTGCTCTCTCTGTGTCACACCTTTTCTCCTGATTCGCTTGTAGCTCACTGTGTTCTGGCCTGTGTAAGAAGGTTCTGTCTTGGTACAGGGATGCTTTGATGAACTCCAGTGTTTACGACCTACTGTACTAGTAATTCTCTGTAAAGATTTGCAAGTATACGAAGGTTTGAGAGTTTCTAGTTACACTGGCAACCATTTTGTATGAGTTGATTGACAATGCAGTTGTGGGTATATGTATCCAGAAGTAAGCCCTATTATGTATAAGATGTTTTAGCCTAGGAAAGTATTGTTTATTCAAATGGTGTTACTTATTCAAAACTGCATGCTTCCTCTCCATACGGCAGAGGTTTTGTCTTGGGGAAAGGTGTACAGAGGGCTGCAAAATAAAATCTATTATGTATGGTAATGCATTCAGATCTGGCATCTCATCCTGTGTCTGTTCAAGGTTGAGACCAAAGCAAGCCTTAGACAGAGTCAAAGTGCAATTGAATTAGGATGACCCAGTGAATAGACAGCTGATGTTTAAAGTTCCTGAGTAACAGTATTCAAGGATACTGTTTTCAGAAAAAGATGATGAGTGTTCAGCTTTCTTATCCCCAGATCTTTTTGACTGATGGCGATCTCTTCTTGCTTATAAATGTTGCAATATCCCATAATATTTATAGGTAATACAGAGGAAATCGGCCAGTTGTGAGCATGGAAAAGCCTCTGCTTGAGATGGCACAGTAGCTGTATGGTTGTAGCCTGCACTCATCCATGGTATGAGGTCACAATGCTCCCCGGTGTGGGTGGAGCTAACTTTTAAATTGGAATATTCAGCCATACATTTTCCCCACATACTGTGCAGTGTGAATGCACAGAACGGCATGGGCAGGACTCCAGGGTGCTAGCAAGGTGAGAGAATCAAACGGGGGATTTTATTGCTGGGAGAAATAGATGATCCCACTCAGCAACAAAATATGTGACTAATGAATCACACTGATTTATGTGATAGCAGCTTATAAAATGGGACCATATCAGAACCATCAAGCATGGTTCTGTTTCCCTCACTGGCAGTAGTGACGGAATATATTCTTTTAGTTCACATAACCGAATTGTTTCCCAACTAGCCAAGTCCTGGATACAAGTATCATCTTTATTTCCAAAAATGCCTCCAGGCTCCCAGACCAAAAGAGCAAGGCAGGGGGAAGACAAATATTTGCCCAAAATGGCAGTGTATCCTAGGTACCATTCCCACTCCTTCCAAAATTAGTGCCTTCCTTCCGTTTTTGCTTGCCTTTCTCCTTTTTCCCTTTTGTTCTCTCTTACTCCCGCTCTCGCATACCTTTCATTTATTGTCTCTACCAGGCTTTCCCAGCCTTTTGCTCCCTAGAGGTTTTGAACTTCACCTTTGAACAGCCACAGAAATAGGAATTCTATAAGTTATAATTTAATGTCTGGGAAGTTGAGGAAAGATCTCTCTCTCTCTCTCTCTCTCTCTCACACACACACACACACAGAGAGAGAGAGAGAGAGGGAGAGAGAGAGAGAATATTTAATCCCTCAGGCTGTCTGAGTATCAGGGTAGGCAGGCAATGCGCTCTGCAGGATCTGGTGAAAGCATTGCAACTATTTCTGCAAGCAATCATGCTGCTGCCTCTGTCTGTCTTTTATCCTCTCCATGTTTAGATTCAAAAAGAACATCTCTCTTCAGGGAGCCTGCTGCCTTGGGCATGCTGGGAACTGTAGGACCTTTCTCCTGTCTAAATATGCATAGGATTATGTCCTGAATGACCAGCTGGAAGTTGCTGGAACACTTTTACGCACCTTCCTCCTCCCAGTGCTTCTTGGGATTTGCAGTTCTGTGAGAAGAGAGGAAGATAGGCGGCAGCTGGGAGCTCCAGCTCCCAGGATGTAGTGCAGTCCGCTCCAACAATGAAAAACCACAGTTATGCACACAGCATCCCCCTGAAATCCCAGAGTATTGAAGGAGAGATTTGTAATTGGACAGAGATTTTGTAACTGAACAGAAGCTGACTCCTGGTCACACAGTATTACACTGCCTCAGGGATGTACTTGCCCTTTTGCACAGCATTTCTTGCATTGCTTGATATGTGCCTTATTGACCAGCTGGAAACATGCGTCGCTTCCTGCTAAGGCCTAACTAAGCATAATTTTTAAGGCCTAGAACAATGGGCATCTTTTTATACACATGCCACAATTCCATTACAATTCCACAATACTCAAGCACTCTTGGAAGTCAGAAGCCAAGTTTATATTTTAAGTCTGCAGCTACAGTTTGCTGTGTTTTCATTCAGGATTGCATGTAGCCTGAAGAAGAGCCTTACTGTTTGCTTTTTTTAATCATTTGCTTGGTCTTAGTGTATTGACTGAACCAGACTGCAGAAAGGCCTTTGCAAACTGTGACTTTTTCTTGGCAGCTATTGCATGCTATTCTTTGCTATTCTTCACAGCAAAAATGTCACAAAATAAGCATACAAAGGACCTCAGTCCCATCATTCCTTTGCAAATCTATGTACATGGAATCAACCCCTTTTCCTCTTAAGTACTAAGTTTCAAAAAATTCAATGAATAGAAGAAGATTGTTGGGAGTGGAATAGATCTGGACCAAGAAGTTAAGTGTGAGGAGGGAGGAGCAGCAATGAAAATGAAAGTGAAACTTTTTGAGCAGAATACTCCACAAGTCTTTGGATCTTTTTGTGTACAGCCTGAAGTTTATCATATTCTTCTTCCTCCAGATGAGAAGACCTATACTGGCAGCAGGCTGTCTAAAGAGACCCAGTTTGGAAATATTTTAATGAAGTTCTACCTACGGGTAAAGCAGGCATGTGCGCAAATTATGTAGAAAACCACAATTTAAATCTAGTCTGATTGACTCATGATTTAAATCAATTTAACTTAAGTCAAAACCACCTTGGCTGTAACTGTGCTCTATATTGGATCCAACAGATTTTGATAGACATACAGATACAGGGAATCAGGTTTCCATAAATGTCCTCAGACATCAGCTACGCTTTAACATCATATTCTTTCATCATGGAAATAGGTTTCTAGTCTGGCATGGGGATTTTTGTTTTCTGTTAATGTGTACTGTTTCCCATATCTGGGTCTTGCTTTCTCATCCTTTCCTGTCCTGTGTTGGAAGTTTTATGAAAACCTTTAATGGAGTGTGCCAAATTACTCAGAGATCTGTTATGTATAAGATTGATTTCTGTGATAATTCAACAACTGTATAAGTATTACTGATAGAGTCATAAGGTTTGATAAAGATTTCCAGACTTATTATAAAAAAAGTTTTACAGTGATTAGTTCAGTATCTGGATTTTCTTTGTGACCCCTTAAGCTTTGTAAGAAGCAAACAAAAAACCCTGTAAGCTTTTTTGGTTCAAGAATTAAAGCATCTGTCCTGTTTTCTGTGCAACTTATCATGAGAAACCGAGGGGTTTCGAGTATGAAAAGCCCATCTTAGAATGACTCCAAAGACCTTGATTGCCTGGTCTGCAGTCAAATGTTTCCATGCTTCATTGCACCTGTTTCTCTTGCAGGTACATGTGACAGCACTGCAGCTATGAGTGGAATTTTAAAGAGGAAATTTGAAGAAGTCGACGGCTCCTCGCCCTGCTCTTCCGTGCGGGAATCGGATGATGACGTTTCTAGCAGTGAAAGTGCTGACAGTGGTGACAGTGTCAACCCTTCCACTTCAAATCACTTTACCCGTAAGTACTACAGCCAAATAACCATGCACAGTAGACGGTTACGGCCAAACTCTGTGCTGAGATCTTTTCTTTCTAACTCTCTAAACCCAGTGATCCGTAGAGCATAAACTCCTTTCTTTGTTAGTCAACGGACCAGTCTGGCCCCAGACTTTGGTAGTTCACATTCTGAGTTTTGGTTGTAGCCTCCGAAATACACTCACGGGATACAGTGAGGCCAATGTCATTTGCACAGCATTGGGTGTGCCAAGCGTGGTTGTGGTCCCCATACTGAGCCAGTGTGGCGCAGTGGTTAAGAGCATGGGACTGGGACTCAGGCGATCTGGGTTCTAGTCCCCGCTCAGCCATGGAGCCACCTGGGTGACTTTGGGCCAGTCACAGCCTCTCAGCCCAACCTACCTCACAGGGTTGTTGTTGTTGTGGGGATAAGATGGAGGAGGAGATGTAAGCTGCCTTGAGCCCTTTGCAGGAAAAAGGCAGGATATAAATCGAAAAACAAATTAATTAAATAAATACATAATGTGAAGGTCTGTGTTGTGGAACATCTTGGGCGGCATCCTTCCTGATATTAGTGCTAACCTAGATTACACTGTGCTAGTGCCAGCAATCTCTAGCACAACACCAATCGCCTTTGCTTGTGCAACAGGTTACTAGCATTGTGCTAGCATTGTGCTGACAGTAGTGCACCGTAATGCATCGTGTTAGCACTAGTGTTCAACAGGATATGGCCCTAAGTCTCTACTGGGCCTGGGTTGATTTTGAGCTTTAGAACACTGCATGCTCTGGCATCAGGATGCCGTCATGCTGTTTCCCATATGAACCTGCCGGAGCATTCAGATCAGCAGCAGAGTCCCAGCTCTGTTGTCGCGTTGCTGTTAAATGAATTGTGGGCAGGCAGACACCAGGAAAGGACTTCTCTACAGTTAGGCAACTCCACCCCCCCCCCCCCTTTAGGCTATGGAAAGCCCTCCCAGGGAGAGTTGCATGACTTGCTCATTGCTTGTCCATTGACCTGCTCATTTCAATAAATGTTCAGTTGTTGATTGACTGCTTTAAAGAGAATGCTTTCCTTCAGATGCCATTTTGATGCTTTATGTATTTATATCCCACCATTTTTCCTCCAAAAAAAACTCAAGGTGGTTTACATAATCTTCCTCCTTTTCTCCATGTTATTCTCATCTGGTTTGCATCTGTGTCTGATTAGCACACCGAGTTTCTTTAGGGTAGGAAAAATGAGGAATTTAATTATGAAAGAGAAAGGAAGTGTGATTTTCTCTTTTGTGTTTGTGTTATTCCACAATACTACCATGCCCCCTAGAGGTTTTGTGGGAAAATGGTGCTCCTCATGTAGCTTTTGAATCTCAGTTATGTGATGAAACCCAAAGCAGATACAATGCATTAGCAACTAATGATCAGCCTCATGTAGAATAGCTCTTGATCATGTTGTGAGGGTCCTTGGGTGATGATGTAGAAATGTGGAAGAATCCTCAGATTGGCATTTATATAGGACTGCTTAGTTTTACCTGCTGGCTGTGCTGGGACTCTGTGAAATTTTACTGGTTTTGGTGTATTTTGTATTGCTTTTCCTTGGAGACCCTGGAGATAATTTGCTAAGTAAAATCAGTGAATTCTGAACTTCCAGGCTTCTTTGTATTCTGCGCACACTGATGTTAGCAGGGTGTGAGTAAAGCAATGCGATCCTCTTGTGCTGCTAAGACATCTTTATAAACACCAAGCGAGTGTAGTGGCGCATGGGATGATCTAAAAATCATGCAGCATATTCTGGTGCAGTACCAGAAGGCTTATTGTCTACCACCAAATTGAATACAGCTACTTTCCCCGCCAGCTGTGTTTTCAGGTTATATTGCAAAACAAAAGTATTATATTGTAGCTTCAAAATACATATGCTATGCAAAGCAAATTGCTTTCTCCTTAAAGAGGAAATGGAGAATATAATGTAATGAAAATACAAAATGGTTTTGTTTGTGATTTCTGCTACTGGATCCAGAAAAGCTTCCCTTCTCTAAGACAAGAATTTGTTGTTGTTGTTGTTGTTGTTGATGATGATGTTTTGTAGAGATTAGGGTTTGCCTCAGAGTAACGTAACTTTAAAGTGGTTGGTTTAGCTCACTCAAAAGTAATATTCGTGTAAAGAAATATAAATAAGTGTGTGGATGTGTAAGTGGAAGGAGAATACAGTTGTGTTTAGTGGCCACCATCAAACCTTCACCTGAATGGAAAATCACCTAGGGAGATCTCCGTGAATCTTTTTGGTTTAAAGTAAATTCACTGTCTCTCCTCATTTTTATTCTTTTATTTATTTATTTTTTGATTTATATCCTGCCTTTTTCCTACAAAGGGCTCAAGGCAGCTTACATCTCCTCCTCCATCTTATCCCCACAACAACAACCCTGTGAGGTAGGTTGGGCTGAGAGGCTGTGACTGGCCCAAAGTCACCCAGTTGGCTCCATGGCTGAGTGGGGACTAGAACCCAGATCGTCTGAGTCCCAGCCCCATGCTCTTAACCACTACACCACACTGGCTCTCCATCTATTCTTACACCCATGCTCTCCATCTATCTGTCTCACTCACTCCACAACTCTCTCACACACTGCACAAACACATATTGTACAACACCCTCCTCTCATGACACAGGCATCTTCTTAAGAGAAGTTGCTATGTGGCTTGAAAATTACTACCTAAATGAAATCAAATCTTGGTGTTAATTAACCACTAGGGAAAACAAATAGTATTTTTTCATTTGGAAGGCACGATTATTAATTATTATGATTATTAATTATATTTCTATAGTACCCAATAGCTGAAGCTGTTACTAACCTCAAGAAGAGCATCATTTGTAGGGACCCTTCTGTCTCACCCCTCTAATGTTCTGTACATGGGGACTCAGAACAGATATTTGAAACAAGGGATCCATCCCATGTCCTGGGAATAGGTACTCCAGAAATTGTGACATCTCTTAAAAGAAAAAACGCATGTCAAATTGAGGTCGGGTTAGTATCCTCTGTTACCAGAATTTACAAAACTGTACAACAGCATTTCACACTGCAAATGAAGTCCAGGCAAGGCAGAGACAGAAAAGAAATAACTTGTCTGGATTCTCACACCTACTGTTTTCTCTTTCTGTTGCTTAAATGGCACATCCACAAAGCCAGGTTTTCTATCCTTAGGTCTTGCGCGTGATTTGCATAAGGCAACACGTTCCAGGTTTCAGATTTGCTGCGCAGAAAACAAATAAATAATCCCTCTTATTTTCACATATTCTGGCTCTGTCAGGAAATAACCTTGGTGATGAGGTTGGGGGGGAGTTGGCACTGAGCCAGAAGCCTGCCTAGTGCTAAAGCAAAGCTGTTGCTGCTTCAGAAAGGGCCTTGAATGGGAGGCTCATCTGGTTATTAAAGCAGACAGTGGAGAGATATTTTCCCTCCTGGGAAGCAGTTACAAACCTCAGGCACTGAAGCGATGCGAGTGCAAGTGGCAATTGCATTTCAAAGCAGGCTGTGTCCTGAACTCGGAGAGTGAAACGCAGCCTGCATAAGTGAACTGAAGCACTTCGACTCTCTGACCTAGTCGCTTCTATTTAACATGACTTCCAACCGATGCCAGCGTTTTAAATGTACAGCTGAGCCATCAAAGCCCTCCAATTAATGAACAGTAGCCTGATAAACAAGAGCAAAGCTAGCCTAGCCTAGGTAAGTAGCAAAGTAAATCCTTCTATAATAAGGCGTGCTGAAATGTATTTTCGACTTCTGACCTCATCCATCTGCCTAATGGAATAATAGCCCTGCATAGGGTCTTTCTCATTCAGAAAAAGAAAAAGAGGAAAACATGGCTTGATCACACTTCAGTCGGCCGCTTTATTAGGTATATTTATTTGCCACCTCATAAAAAGAATTCTCTAGGCAACATACAAATGGAAAACCTATTAAAACACAGCTATAACACTCAGATTCAACATGAAAAATCCTAGCACAGCACAAAAAGAGAAGAGAAGCCAAACAGGAACAGTTGTGCTGCCTGTCGTAATTAGTTGGCTGTGCCAGCTTCTTTGAAACCATGTGAAAGTATGAGGGGCATAGCCGAGAGGCAGTGTGGTGCAGTGGTTAGAGTGTTGGACCAGGACTGGGAGATCGGGTTTTGGTTTCACTCAGCTAAGAAGCTCACTGGGTGACTCTGGGCCAGTCAAAATGCAGCCTAATCCGCCTCACAGGTTGTTGTTGTGGGGATAAAACTGGAGTAGATGAGAACTATGTAAGCTGCCTCAGGTTCCTGTAAGATGAGGTATAAATGTAATAACATTAATAATAAAAGCTAGAATAATTTAGATGGATAGAGAACAAAACTTAAGTGGTGCATTTATGGAAAGTGAAGGAAAGTGTAGGAAATGGTACAAGGAAAGAAACAGCACTGTAAAGCTGTTCTTTTAATGCTAAAACTTGATTCTCACATGCTTACATCGCTTGAGGACTGCAGCTCAGACTCCCAACTAGGTAGCCTTCAGAAGTTGTTAGGCAAATCTGTGGAGGAGAAGGCTAAGAGTCATGCATGACCTCAGGATCAGAGGCAACATGCTGGTGCGTATGCCAGTTGCTGGGGAGCATGAGCAGGAGGTGCTTTCACTCTCACGGGCTTTGCATTGGCGACTAGGTGGCTGCTGAGCTAGAGAGCCCTTCCGCCCGATCCAGGACTGCTGTTCTTGCATTCCTCACGCCAAGACATCAGTTGGAGTGGTGACTGAGCGATCACAGATATAAGGTTACGACTGCGTTACTGGGACTGTACCCTTTGCTTGTGTGCATCTATAGACGGGCTTCCGTGGGAAGCTCCACTGTGGCACAGTGGTGAGAATGTCGGACTGGGAACCCGGGAGGTCGGGGTTCTTTTCATGGTCTCTGTGCTTGCATGGAGCCTGTTTGGGATGATTCCATAGCTAAGACTTACTTGCCAGGAGCCCCTCCCCGGCCCCAGCCAGGCGTGAGGGAGGG